CTGCACCACCTTATTTATGCTCAGAGACTCATTTTCTTCATTTGGAAAATGGGGAAAATATCTTCTACTTTCTATGCTTCTTGTGCAGAATAAATCTGACGATGTACATAAAGTGCCAACATAAGTTTTTAAAAAATTGGCTATTGGGATTATCAGACATAGAAAGGAAATGATCTTAATCCACACTAGGACAAATTTTGTGAAATTGTGTGCTGTATTAATAACACACACACACAAAAATGTCTAAAGGGAAAAGTGCTTTATATTTTTAAGTCACAGTAGAAGCCCTCTGACTCATAGGTTGGTTCATGGAAAAGTAGGTCAAAGTGAGGACTCATTAAAAAAGTATACACATATACTCTAAAGATATTAACTTGGCAACTAATGCAAATATTCTGACACAGAGCCAGGTTTTCTTGCTAAGTAGAGGCTCACTCGCTGGAGCTCTGCACTGATCTCCTTAAATAAACAATACCTAGACTGCAATGTCTGCAATTGCCAGAGTCAGTCACTTTAAAGTAATGCAGGGACAGAAAAGACATTTGGAAAGCAATTCCTTCCAGATTTTTATGATTCCCGCCCCCCGCCCCGCATCTTTATGGTTTACTTGCTCAAACTAATTCAATAGCAATTTCATTAAAAAAAACTCTCCTTTATGGAGCCTTTCTAAAACATTAAAATCAGCTTGTATAAGAACAAAAACCCTTTCTATGCTCATATTTTATTAATTTATACAATAATCAAATAAATTACCTAGCGATAATATAAATGGGTTTTGGAATAAACACAACTAGCTTTTGCTAAACACATACCTCAACTGAAAGAAGCAAAAGTGTCCAGTTATAGTAGAGGACTACTAATTCCTAATTGTCTAAGTGCTGGTATGAGTCAATGGGTTTTATAAAAGAGAATCTTGATTAATTTAGCAAGTCAGTTAATTCAATGAAAACTGCCAAAGAAATTAATACCAGCGTCACTATGGTTTGTCATAATTTGACTTCTGATTCCAAGTCATAAATTGATATTTAAAAACATATAATGGTTAAAACTTTTGAGGTTGGTATTGTAAGAGTTAGGTCCCATCCACACCTCCAAAATTTCTGAATGTAATTATAATATTTCTGTTTTGCAACTCACTCAAAGTAGATCACAATACTACCTTTCATGCTTAAATACTATAGTTTATATTCTGTTACTATTAATATAACATCTTTCTAGACTTAATTTTTCTTTTAGAAGTGTTTTTCAAACTTTTTTTTTGTGATACAAATACTCACCACCACTCCCCCACAACACCTTAAACAAAACACTCCCAGAACTGTAACATATAAAACAATGAATGCAGAGCTGCTCTGAAATAGGGCCTAACTCCCCTCTCTACTCCCAGGGCAATCTCTGAAGCCCTTCTGCATAACTCTATAGCTTCTTGGGTCAAAGACTGAAAACTTGGTTCTTTTAAACAATAATCAAAAATATTAAAACAGGGCTTCCCTGGTAGCACAGTGGTTGAGAGTCCGCCTGCTGATGTAGGGGACACAGGTTCGTGCCCCGGTCCGGGAAGATCCCACATGCCGCGAGCGGCTGGGCCCGTGCGCCATGGCCGCTGAGCCTGCGCGTCCGGAGCCTGTGCTCCACAACGGGAGAGTCCACAACAGTGAGAGGCCCACGTACCGCAAAAAAAAAAAAACAAAAATTAAAACAAAAAAGTTACATAACTTATTAAAAGGCTGTAACTTAGCTAATTAGAATATTCAGTTAACCAAAACAATTTAGGATTCTTATCAGTTGTTTATCACCTTTTTTAAAAGAAGCAATCTGGTGGCATTTTAGACTTTTAGCAATAGAAGTAGAGGTCAAAGGCCTTCTCTGACTACTGTTATCTTCTACTCGCCAGACATCCTGTCACCATATTATCACTTCTTACTTATTTATGAATTTCTAAAATTGATTTGTGCACTAGTTTACTATCTGTTCCTCATTCCCCCAATAGACTAAGTTCCCCCAACTTCATGAGAGCAGAGAGCTAGTCTGTCTTCTTTATCAGCCCTTATTTACAACAGTGCCTGCCAAATTGAAGAGGTCCAGTAAGCGTTTGTTGAATAAATGAATGAATGAATGAACAAACGAACGAACAAATCAACTTCTACACCAGTATGGCTCCTCCCTTTTCATGATCCTCAATCATGAATATATTGATTTTGTGAGTGCTTTGGAAGTTTAAGTGGGAATTCCTGGTGAGAGTGATTGGATACTGGGCAGGTAGATGTAAGCAGTAAAGGTAACTATGGCAGATAACTACAGAACAAAGAGATACAGGCATTTAATTCTCCTAAGGGAAAAAAAAAAGACTCTAATACAGTGACTGCCCCCTAGACTAGAGAATTTATTTTGCAAAATTATTATGAGCCACCACTCTCCCCCCACAAACACTTCTGTTAAATAAACTGCTTCACTGGGAGGAGAGTACATGTGGAGATGGGGGTTTCAACCATATAGTAATTTCTGTTAATAGGATGTGTGCTTATGTGGTATGTACATAGTTTTCAATGAACAGTTAATTTAATTTTTCAATTCATTAAACTGAAATTTAATTAAATTAATTAAAATTAATTTAATTAATGTTGCAACAGATTCCAATATTTAACCATTTAGAGCTATACTACACATAAAATAAATTCAAATCATATTATAGAACTAATTAGAGAAATATCTAGTCAAAAATACTGATATTTAAAATTCTGTGACCTAGTTAATAAGGCATAAGAATCAAATCAGAAATTCTAGACACCTAAAGCATTCTGAAATTTTATGCTCAAGAATATATCATAAAATGGGGGAAAAAACTTTAGATAAAAGAATATCCATAAAGAAATAAATATCCATGAAAGAAATATCACAAACGAAATTCCATCCACAAATATAAAGAAACATGTATATCACTGGCATTTGCAATTTATAATAAATTTGACTGAGCAGGTGAAATACCCATAATTCAGCAGAGTTATATGTAAAATACATCTTTTTATAAAGCTAATACCAGATGTTCTGGCTGCATGTTAGGTCAGCTTGTAAGAATAAGGATGGCCGCTGCAACTGGGTGGCACCCATGGTAGCATGATGTAAAGCTTATCAATTGTAGGGAAGAGAGGAGAGGATTTCTTTATATAAAACAAAGCAGTACTTCATTTTCAAATTACTGATATATTTTCTATTAATGAAAAATGACCTGCTACAGCTCCTGCTGACAGTATGAGAGAGTTTAGGTTGCCTCTCTTGAAGGACAATTTTAAGACCACATATCTTCACAACTTGCCTGGTGAAAAATCCCTCAATAGAAATTCTTGAGGGATGTCATCATTAGGTCACAAAAACCCTAAATCATCAGGATTTAAAGAATAATAATAGTAGCATCTGTTTACTATATACCAATCACTGTTCTAAATCTTTACATACATTATCTAATTTAATCCCTTCAATACCCCATTACACAATAGATATAGGTTGCAGTATTAAAATCTAGATGGACAGACACGTCTTACTTAGAAATTTCTTTAGGTTTTACTATTTTTGACTAAGTTTGTATGTTATTTGATATACCAGGGCAAGTCAAGAACTAGCCATTACCTCTCATGCCACGTAGCACAGAACCCATTTTGTCTTCCAGGTATCACCTGGTTTGCATCGTTCACCTTGCTAAGACACTGTTTAGCTTCTGACTACCTGCAGTAGAGGTGTGCTGGAGCCAGACTGCACCAGCTTGTGAAAGCTGACTGTGCACTCATATTTCCAACTCCACATTCAATGACATCACACAGGTAACTTAACATTGGCCATGGTGGAACTATTTCATACCACAGAAATCGGCAAATCAAGGCCTTTTATTTATTGGAGAGCTGGCTGTTAAGTATCTACTCACATATCACTGATCTGAGAACATGTGTATTCAGTTGAGTTTGTCAGGTCCTATTCAGGTTCAGGTAGAAGGGGCTCCTGTCTCCTAACTGGGTGAGCCCAGTTATCAAGAAGACCTTTAGGTATCCAGAGCTCTCGGGAAAGAGGCAACCCATTCTTGTAACTGCTCCCTTAGAACTAGAGTAGACTCTTTCCTTACTCATATCTATGGTCTGACTCATTCTTAAACATCACAAACTTCTTCATCACTGTAATTCATCTTATCTAAGATGCCATTGATTCTGAGTCACCATAATTTATGTACTATTAAGAATTTTTAAATTGCCAATTAAATTGCATCAACTATAAGATGCATCCTGGCGTCAGAAATATTAAAATCTAAAAAAAATGTGTATATTAAAAATTGGTGGAAAAAATTCATTTCTATCTTGATGACTATTGTTTTCCAATCTCAGAGTCTTAGTTCCACCTCTCTTTTCACTCTTTATATTCTACTCCCAGGTCTCCCACCTTAGTGGTTGTCATAAGGCATATTTATATTCACAATTATCTTTATCTACACAGACTATAAACAGAATGAATTCTGTTCAGGAAAAATTATAATCCGGAGAGCAGATGCAAAATAGTAAGAAAAGAAAATGATAAAGCATCAGAATTTGCTAAAGTAAGAGAAAGGAACATGAAGAAACAGAAAGCAGAGATTTCTCTGAGAAGCAGATGGAGACTGTGGAAAAGAAGAGGCAAATACTCCAATAAAGATGTAAAAAAAAAAAAAAAAAAAAAAAAAAAAGAGGCAAAAAAGTTAGACGTAAAATGGCCTGAGCAGCATGTATTATTCCCAAGCTGGTTTTAACTTTATGGCATGAAATGGTTTATTATCAGGATGGACATTCAAATCTTCCCCAAAACTGCTCTCACTGCTTTGAGAAGACATGGATCTGGCCTAACTTGACTAATATGACATGATGAAGAGAAATAAACATATTTTCTGTCTTTTCAAAAAATCACCAATTAAAGTCCAGTAATACTTTTGAGGTATTTCAACTTTTATGCACACGCTTAAAGCACTTAGAAATGATTCTACTTACTCGCCATCCACTTCCGGTCTTTTACATACACAAGGAAACTTGCCACCAAAATCTATATAAAGATCATTCTCCACAATATGAAAGATTCGTCCAATGACTAGTTTATCCTTGGCAGGTCCCATCTGTGTAAGAGGAGAATGTCTCAGCATAGACGCGAAGGATTCCACATCTTTTGGAGAGCCCTAAATATGAAAAGAGATATTTATATGCATACAGTTCAATGCTAAGGTATAATATGGTAGGTACAGTAATGTCTTATAGGGGAAATTTTTAAAAGTCAATTTGCTGTATATTTACGTTTTGTAGCAATAATAAAAATACTGAAATGGAATTTTGCTTTAAAAAGCCTGGGACGCTCTTCAACTTCCTTTTCCTTCCTTTCCTTCTTGAAGAGGAGCCAGGGAAAAGCAGGCATCTGTGCTTGGTGGGGGATGGCGCAGATGTGGTGGCCCAGGGTGGAATCTGGAATGTGAGCGGGATAAGGAGCCCCCTTAGACAAAGCTTCAGGCCTGGGGCAAGGAGGGGGTAGGGAGGCGAGTGTGCGAGGAGGGCATCCAAGAAGGCAATTGGCTTCATTCCTAGTACTGACCATCTGCAAAAAGCAAAATGCCTTCGAATACTGGTTTAATGAAAGTAACTATGCTTTAATACAAATTTAAGTAAGCATTAAGATAAAAATGATTAAGGGTCCTTTAATTAGCAGTCTGAACATGAGCTCTTGTTATGTAATATTTTCAAATGCCTTGACTTTATCATTTTAATGTTGTATTTTAACATTATAATTTTCTTCTTTTTCCTAAAGTAAAATTTTAAAGCAAAGACAGCTTTAATTGTTTTGTGCTACTCACTTTCTAGGAGTCGTCTGACGTACTGAATTTACTTGAGGTAGGGCTGAACATATAGTGCAAGCCGATTACTTTTTTTTTTAACTTACCAAAATTTTTTCCAAACACATGCTTTTTCAGAAATCCACGAATACAGATTTGTGCCTTCTACTCATCTTTAATTTGTGTGTGGTGTGGTGTGTGCGCACTTCAGTTCAAACTAAGGGAAGCTGAGTTTCTGTTTGTGAGAGCTCATCACAGAAGAATATTAACAATCTGATCTGCCTATGTATATCCTGTATCTGGAATGAATTTTACATTTGTTATTTAAGGGAGAATTACTAAGAGTTTGATAATATACTTACTTTAAAAACTACAAAACCATATTTATGACAATGTTAATGCATGGGATACTCCAAGGATTAGAAAATAATCAAATGCCCAGCCAGGAGCTTACTAAGCAGAAGAATACATGCCAAACTACAAATATAGCCACTACTCAGCTCTAGCTGCAGTTGCAGTTCAAGTCCAGTGTTGCCACATCTTTTGATTTTCCAAGAAAAGCCAGAAATCCATATATTAATGTAAAATTTCTAATTTTAAGTGTTTATACATTGAAAAAAAGTCTTTCACTTTATAAATCAGAGCACATTTTGACCTATGAACCAAAAGTTTATGACCTCTGCTTCAAGAAAAAGAAAGTCAAATCATCTGACAGATACCAAGTCCCTTAGATGCTGGAGGGAGGATATGGTGATAGATTTGTTTCAGTGGGTTGAAACCCAATGGGAAGGAACCCTTAGCACATAAGGGTTGATCTAAAACCAAAGACAAGTCAGTAGACCTAGATGCCAAATAAAGCTGAAAAGGTAGCCAGGAATATTACACTTTGAGCCATAATACTAGTTTTATGATTCTACACAGTATAATATTTAATTCCTTAAACAAGCACCTTGAAAATAGTTCTTTTGCAGACAGCCAAGCGTGAAACACACCTTATAGGCTCAACACAGAAACAGCTATGAATTGTCCTCTTGATGCAAAGAGAGTAATACAAAGTACGCTGTCAGAGACAAGTGCAGCTACTATAACCCTCTGCTGGGAACCACTATACCATCCAGAGCAGCTGGGAAGAGCACTGTTCCAGGCAAGACCAGACAGGTTATCAGCTTGGGGGTCTCATTCTGCTTACAACCTGGGAAGGTCCTTCCCATTTTTCCCTATAACCTGCTTTCCCATTACTCCGCTTCTGTGGTTGATATCTATTCTTCTTCTTCTTCATCTGTTTTTTTTTTGGGGGGACGGGGGGCAGGTAGACTTTCAATTAAAGCCATGGTGTCATTAAAACAGCAGATGAGAGGAAGATACAATAGTAGGTCTAATACTTGAATACTTATTGAAGATAATTCAGCCATCACTAGGGCCTCTTCCTAAAACAACAATCTCCTTTACAACTGTGAAGGGCTGAGATTAGTATGATAGTAAATGGTATTTCCCTCTAGGTTTTAGAAAATAGAGTGTTCTTGACTATTTAATATGATCTCTTGAGATTTTTAGTAAATGTGTTGTGAAATATTTACATTATAAACTTTATAAAATTATGAATAATTATTTTAAAGGAGATTTTAAAATCAAGTAAAACAGAATGCTATTGCTTTTTGTTCCATTATTTTTGCCTTCACTTTGTTATATTTTACAATGGAAGTCAATGTGTTTTCAGTGAGTGAAATGATTTTACCACAAGTATAAGACACCTTGATCAATACCTGAATTTGCTTTTAAATTCTATGCTTGCTATACTTTTTGGAAACTATAACAAATAATTAGACAAAGCCCTCCTTCAAAAAAACATGGTCTAGAATCATCTCTGAATTCCTCATTTACTTGTCAAATGGCTTCTAAAACTAATAAATGTAGCACAATCCATGATGACAACCAACACTGTAGGCTCCTCTCATGCTGTTGCATACTGCAAAGACTCCAGGCACACTGTCACCTTCTGGGTGTATCATAGATCTCAGTGTCTAATCCTGCTTATGGAAAATGTTGCTACAAAGTTCATTCATAAAGTTGTCATAGGTAAAGCAGGTGCCTTAAGGTGGACTGCTTCCTTTAAGTATTGGTCATAAATCTCAGATTTCCAAAGTGTTCCTGTTACTCTGCTGTACTGTTTTTTCCCTTTGAAGCCTGAAAGTTGAATAGCACTGCCCAGATAGAACAGGGGAAGGTAAATGAATTACAGATAGAGGTAATAGTTCCACTTTCATTCATTCATTCATCAAATATGTGTTGAATACCGAGGCCTGTCATGTACCCCAGACTCCGTTCTAGCCTTGATATGAAAATATATGAAACAGTTAAACGAACATGAGAAGACATTAGGGTCCAAAAATTGCTGAAAACAATTGCTACCCTCATTCAGGTTGTAAAGAGTCCTATACCAAAGGCTAAGTGGGTTAGACATTATCCTATAAGCAGTGGGAAATCAAAAGAAGTTTCTCATTAATGGGGTGACAGTACTTGTTCTTTGTTTTAAAAAAAAAACTTTGGCAGCAGTATGCAAAATGGACCAGAGAAAGGGTGGGGGGGGAAATGGAAAGGGGGCAAACTGTTGAGAAGCTCCTCCAGTAACTAGGGCAGAGATGATAAAGGGCCTACACTGAAGCAGTGGCCATAGGGAAGAAGGGATACAGAGCTATTTACCAAACAGTACAGCAAAGACTTGATACCCAATTGGCTGTAGAAAGCAAGGGAAAAGGGGAGCCACTGACGAGGTGGGAGAGCAGTGCAGCAGAAGTAAGAGAGTAAGTTATTTTCACACTTATTAGGTTTCTGATAACCATAAAATTTTAGGGAACACTGTCTGTCTGGTAGATAGTTAAAAATAATAGTGCACTTTTTTTTTTTTTTTTTTGCCACACCACACGATTTGTGGGATCTCAGTTCCCCAACCAGGTATTGAACCCAGGCCACGGCAGTGAAAGCACCAAATCCTAACCACTAGACCACCAGGGAACTCCCATGGTGCACATATTCATATACATACTTACATAAATTTACAAATATGTTTACAGTAATATTATATAGATACAAATTCCTCAAAAGAAATATATCAAATGTTAACTGTAAAAATTTACATATAGAACTTTTTTCTTTATATTATTTTTTCTTTTTTTTTTTTTGCGGTACACGGGCCTCTCACTGTTGTGGCCTCTCCCGTTGCGGAGCACAGGCTCTGGACGCACAGACTCAGCGGCCATGGCTCACGGGCCTAGAAGCTCCGCGGCATGTGGGATCTTTCCAGATCGGGGCATGAACCCGTGTCCCCTGCATCAGCAGGCGGACTCTCAACCACTGCGCCACCAGAGAAGCCCTCTTTATATTATTTATATTAGAAAATCTAGAACACAAAGAATATGTAGTACTTAAAATTTTTTAATATATAAAGCCTATGTACATATGTATGTATGTATAAAACTATCATGCAGGGACTTCCTTGGTGGCACAGTGGTTAAGAATCCACCTGCCAATGCAGGGGACACGAGTCCAAGTCCTGGGCCGGGAAGATCCCACATGCCATGGAGCAACTAAGCCCATGTGCCACAACTACTGAGCCTGCGCTCTAGAGCCCATGAGCCACAACTACTGAAGACCGCGCACCTAGAGCCCGAGCTCCACAACAAGAGAAGCCACCACAATGAGAAGCCCATGCACCACAACGAAGAGTAGCCCCCGCTGGCCGCAACTAGAGAAAGCCCATACACACAGCAACGAAGACCCAACACAGCCGAAAATAAGTTAATTAATTAATTAATTTAAAAAAAGAAATAAACTTAAAAAAAACATAATGCATATGAAGACATTTAATACATAGCTTGGAATCAGAGGCTACTAGCACTAAAGGAAACACAAAGATATCAGCGAGTCCAGCCACCTCATTTCACAGACGATCACCATACCTGCTTCTCACAGCCACATGATAGGCTGAACAGCGATTTAAATACAACTGCCTCAACAGGTGGAAAGTAGAGAGAAACATTATTTTAAAACTTAAAAGTAAGGACATAGTACAGTAGAATAACAGAAATATTTAGGAAATCTGGGTTCTATGGTCAACTCAGCGACTAAATAACTAAAAAATCTTGAGTAATAAGTCTTTTAACCTCTCTAGGTCTGCCTTCTCATTTGTAAATGAAAAGACTGGATACCTACCAAGTTGAGTAGTAGGAATTCCTAAATATTCTAAAATATAAAAATGTTTTTTTAAAGTAATAAACTATTGAAAAGGGAAGACAAATCCTACCCAGTCCCTTTTTAAACATAAACAATAACAAAAATAATGAAATGCTCTATGTACT